CAAGTACCCAGCAGTATGTATTATATATGTATGGTTCATTGTACAGAGAATTCTAGGGAAATTTTTCAACGGACCGTGTTCACGGTGTTATGCGATGAGTGCATGATTCTCGGGAATCTTTCGACGGACAGTGTTCACGGTGTTATGTGTTGAGTTCATGACTCTTCGGATCCTTTCAACGGACCGTGTTCATAGTGTTTGTGTTCAGTGTATGATTATCGGGAATCTTAAGCTTGTACGGAGTGCACAGTATACGAGTGTTCATAAAACAAAGCAACAGCGATCTCAACAAAAACTCGGTGGCCTATCGCCCATGATGTGATCTAGACTAGAGGATGTAAAACACGGAGTACAGAACACTGAAATGCTACGTATACATTCTAACGAAGTTTACGAATTGCTCAGCGGTGTTCGAAGTTTGCAATGTTTAAATATGTTTCTCTTTCATAAATCTCTTGTTTGTATGGTCTTCATTTGTTGCCTTGTTTTTTTTTCTCTCTTCGTGTTATAACTTGTAGTGCTGGGATGAGGTTTTGTATGAAGATATCTTTCAATCTTTGTTTTAGTTCATGTATACTAGAGGGCCGGGTGTGTTTAATTGACCGTTTATGTACAGGTAGGCAAAGACGGACTTTTCTTACATAAATTTGTGCATATGTCTATGAATCTTATGATTCTGTGCACGAAGTACCACAAGAAGTGAACCCAACCGGGGTTGTCCCACCTTTGGACTCCTACAAGTTTGACATGTTTGCGTTTCCAAGCGACTTCTGTCAAGAGAACCGCCACTTCAAACCAGTTCAAACACAGAAGGTCAGCAAAGGTGGCCCAGCTTTCATTAGCCACGTACAATACACCAACATAACCTCGCCAAAACGGCGTGCTTTCTCCATTTTACTGTCTTCTCAAGTTTTAGTGTCATTGACGAATAATGGTAAGGACGTGTTATAGACGTCCTTGCCCTTCAGAATTAGCGAGAGAAAATTTGAAGTCACAACATTATTGCAAAGCCAGCCATTGCTACCAAAGCAACTATTGTATCTATCAACCACTTTATCAAATCCAAACAACCTAAAAGTCAACACATTACTGCATTTATGGTAGCAATAAGCACAGGTTTAGTGTTTCCGACTCCTTTTTTTTACAATGTCGTTGTAGGAAAGGGGGTAGCATTTGCTTTACCCGCCTGGAAGCTGTAATTTTAAAAGTCTGTCTTTTTATGAATGACCGTGATTCAATAGAAAAGTATGGTTGGCTGACAGAATGTTTACCGGCATCGATCGGTCAATATTTGTCCATTTTTGTCCTTCTCGGATTGGTTTTTGGGCTAAGTCATCTTTTCAACATCCAGGGCATTTGTAACCACGTAGACTGTTCATTTGGAACATTTCCAAAACGTTAATCATACATTTATACCAAACATGCACGTGTTTCCGTAGTCACATATGTTTACACTCCTTTCTCCTGTCGACGTATGGGAAGTATTTTGACTCTTTGCATTTGTGTTTTAAGGTTGCCAATATTAAAGCTGAAAGGGAAGAAAATTTGTCGTTTTTTTTCAAGTTTGGATTATTTTTTAAACATCTTTCCGCAGTTTACTGGGTATCGAGTGTTACGCCCACTGATATCAAATTGAAGTCTACACTATGGTGTAGAAAAAACTTAGGAGAGCATAGTCTACATTCACACATGCTGCCTGTGCATTTATCGTTTTATCATGTGTAACGATAGTTATATTGAACGAGCTAGGAGAATGTACTCGATACAATGAACCTGTAAATACTGTACATATCGTCTGTCTTCTCTGTGACGACCAGTGGGAGATTAGCTCTTCAGTGAGCTAAAACTGGATCGAGATTACTTGCCTTTCCGTTCCTAACCACATGAAAAGAGCCCATGCAGTCCGTGTGGCCTATATTACTAATTGCTCGATGTTTACCTTCCTTTTGACTGGGAATAAAAGCTTCCCCCTCTGCAGGGAATGTTTGCACTTTTCGCAGGTGTAGCAGGTGTAAAAATGTCTGGGCTAAAAAAAGAAATATGTGTGAATTTCTAAGTGTTCATGTTGTAATTTTTAAGCTGTATCGGCTTGAATATTGGTTACTATTATAACTGAATTAATGTTGCTGTTATTGTTGGTGTAACAATGCACCGGTTTCCGACTCGTGGTTAACATGAAATTCAGGGATCTCACGGATTCAGGGTAGAACTTGAAAGTTTCTTGAGCATGAGGCTGTTCCATTTTCCTTTCAGGGGTGATCAGAAAATTAATAGGACGTTAATTGCAAATGCATGCCCGACGACTGATTTAGGATTTAAGACATGATAAGATAATATTAAACAGTAAAATGGCCATAGATGATAATACTAATAAGAAGACGGGTACCCGGGAGAACACCTATGCCATATATTGTTATAATACTTTGTGTGCAGAAACTAAATGGTGTAGTATAAAATTGCAGCCCTCACCCCTTCTTAGAGTGAAATGTTCCAACAAAGTTGGAAGAACATATCGTTTGACTATGACGTAATACGACGTAACACGAAGTCAGGTGTGACCAGACACAGTATAACCAAGCCGGCCGGCGTCACGCTAAACTGCGGACACGCACGCTGCACTCAGGAGAACATGAACCTCAAGTGAATTGTAACTAAGGGTTCAAGTTCAGCAGAAATCTGGCGGAACAACTTTCTATAGATTTGCGATGTATCATGTGTACCTTTTGTACATCAAATGAATAAAGAAATGAATAGACTTTGTTAGAATTCAACGAATCGGAAAAGTATCGTGTGTACCATTTGTCGCTCTGTCTTAAATCCATCGAAAACACGTTTAAGCCCTAAAATAAACATGTTTCTTGTTCTTAATGAGCTACCCATTAAGTAGATACATCCTATAGGATAATATATTGTGTACACTGGAGCATACGTACCTACCCAGTCTCAAACATTCAACACAACTCCAGTACTCTTACACTAATTGGGTTTAGGTCGCTTTCTCTGGATATCCAGAAGTCGAGTGTTTGGTTCCCACGCGATTAGGAGAGATTTTGAGACAGCTGGCTGGATTTAAGAAATACAACAGTACAAGAGTCGGCGTGTTTCTGCCTGAAATTACATGTAACATACTAGCCTGCCGTGGCAATTCATTTTAACCAAAGACAAACTCAACTTATAAAATTGATTTTGTTTTCTATGACTAAAATTATTTCATCGCGAACGATTCTATGACTCAAACGTTTTTGTTTTCTGTGACTACGGTTTCAGGCGACTTTTCAACACAATTTTACCTACAGGCACGATGTCGCCAGTTTTGTAGCTGATCTCTTGAAGCGATACGAACCAAGAACTCCCGGTATTTCCGCTGGTGACTTTACTTCTCTTTTAAGTATTTTGAGTTCAAATTCTTCCCTTTGGACTCCCATACCTTTTCACCAAGCGCAACATTCCGTGATAGCAACAGAAAATGCCTGATTAAGATCTAGATGCCTACATTGGTATTATGGACATGTCCTACTGACACACGTTTGACAGGCTGACAGTCAGATCGCCCGGTGTTGATAGTGATAACCACGTGTTCAGCACATAGTAACTGTCACAGGCCTCAAGTGTACCCAACAAAACACATGCATGGGAAGAGTCCGTATGTCCGGTCACTCATTGTCAGAGATACAATGATAAGCTTGGCGTCATTTGTATATTCTACCTTTTTTTTCAATACTGATATACATTTGGTGCGGGAGCTGGAAATAGTGCCTCACCTGTTCTCCCTCCCCTTCCACAGATCTGGTGGAAAATCTTAATAAACAAATAACGACCGAGAATTAAGCAAGGCTGACGGTCGATCCACGCCATCGTTTAACAGTGTTAGCCATTACATAATTGAAACGATGATTCGACCTTAATTACATGTGATGACCTATAAATTTTACCGTAAATTGTGATTCGCATTCTCCGTGCGTGTCATTTGCCTACTGAATTTACATGGAGCAAATACTTTGTGCCGAGTGTACATATAAACGTTTTGGCGTCAGAACAAGCTAGAAAGATATACTTTGTGTTTAACTACGATGCACTGAAATTATCTTTAAAGCTTGGCTAGAGTGGATACACATTTACATTTGGAAGAATCCTAGATGCGTGAGTTATGCCCTAACACGATCACCGAAATGACGCCGTGCGGTATGCCTTAGTTTACAGTGAGGTGCCCCGGGCGATCTTGTGATAGTAGTGCTGAGCACGCACTGGGGTGTATCCAGGTGCTAAAGGTGGCCCGCACACAACACTAGGGGTTGGGGAAGACTTCTTGTGCATACGGCGTGCCTCTAAGTAAATCTGCCTTACAAATAATCATCTCTAGCACCCTGAAACACGTCGTCACAGCGGCCAGGCTAGGGTTAACTCTAGGGTTAAGACCGCATAGCCCATTCGTAACATCGACGCCAAGCACTGAAACGTGGCGAAAATAATTACGATGATCCACAAAGTGTTTATGAAATATCGAGACAAGTCAGGTGAATCCGAACATCACAACGTACGTTACGAGTCAAACATTGTACGAACACTACAGTGTGATTATAAAATCATTGACAGGTAGCTGTAACGTCTGAAGCATGTACAATGTCGATTTCTTGTTTTCAGCACGAAGGAATCAATATACAAACTTATTGTAGTCTTCAAACGCATTAAATTCTGTTCTCACTGAGTCCAACTCTGTGTATTGCCACTTCTGATCTAACTATAAAAACACAGGACTTATGATTGGGTGAGTTTCTATTGTGGATTCAAGTACTGGGCCACTGAATCTGTCCTCAGATTGTAACACTTGGGTTACCACGACGCGAGTTTGTTATAGCAATAGTGATTCCAGTACAGGTAGTACTCGGCCGTAATATGAGACGTCTGACAACACAAGCCCTGCAACAAAATACAAAATTAACAGAGTAAAAATAATCTCTCACAGCCCAGTCACAGAGAAACTAGTGTCGTTCTAAACTCACCTGTGTTAGAAGGTAGAACTCTACCGGAAGTTATCTTGTTCCTACAGTGACGAGGTGGGAGAAGCCCTACTACTCGAGTCTATCAATACTCGATCACGGCACGGTCTGGGCGTCCTGGGTTCGATTCCCACACGCGAGCGAAGACTACACCTGGCTCACAAACTTTCCTTAGTTTTCCCTACACACCTGTTCCTTCAGATCGTCCCAGTTGAGAAGCGTGGCGCTTGTATATCGTCCGGACTCGGGCCTGGCTTTGTGAACACGGCAATGTTTGCCTGTGTTGTGGTGAGGCCGACTCAGGTTGGACGGGGTAGTGATTGTTGAAGTTGCTAGGCAACGGCGCCTTGTCGCGCGACAGGTGACACAATGATAGCACCTTAGGCCCGGGGCAGTGAGCGCAGGCAAACGCAAACAACCGCAACAACTAAACCACAGTAGCCGGATAGACAACGTCTAGGGGAAAATACGATTAAATATATTCGTCCCAGTTTTCTCGATAACAGCAATGTAAATCAAGCTGGTACCACATAACTTAAACACGGTCTCGGATCTAAAGCTTTCTGACCGCAACAAAACGGCCATTCAGGCGAGATTCAGTTCGTCCGTAAGGCCAAATTGTATTAAAAGATTGTGTGTTGACCAAGCGAAAGAATCAACGGCAAAGACTAGGCGAATCAACATTTTCACCGAAAATAATGTGTATCTGTATATGTTCTTAGCTAAACACACATAACGGAGCACCAATAGGGATGTTATGAGCGAATCAATAGTGTATTCGTCTATATGAAGGGATCGTATTAAAAGCGTTGAGACGTTGAAATACAGCGCTGTCCCTGGAACTTTTTGTCGACCCTGCAGCTGAAACACTCCTCAGCCTGTAGAAAAGCTAAAGATAAACACACCGCCAGTAGAATGCCGTGGTGTGGAGTCGTCTCCAGACTCACGGTCAAGCACACTCAACACATAACCCAAATGTAGCCGGCACATGTTTGAATAGCGCCACCCTTCTACACTATGTGGAACTGCACGAAATAGGCTTTACGTAGCTCGACATGTGAGTGCAACTTACATGATCAACGTTTTAATATTCGTCAATACAGCTAAGTACATTTATGCGATTACCAAGAGAGAGGTGAGGTAGTCGAAAGTACATGTGGATTTTAGACGTTTATATTTACATTTATATACTTTGTTAACATGTGGCCTGCGCTTATCCAAGTGGGGCAAAATGTACAATAAAGGTCTTCATTCATTGTATTACGATATTCGTCAATATCACGAGCATCAATGACAAGAGTCTAAATTAGGATACGATCATTCATTCATTCATTAATCTTGCGAACGGCAGAATATGTATTGAACATGATTTTCGTGGGTTGATGTGATGAGTCCAAAGTTTCTGCAGTACTGGCTCTTGCCGCTAGGAACAGCTTGACTTGAGCACGTCTCCATCATTTGGGTCGTTTCCCATCAAAATACTGTAGTTTATCTGATCCCCGAAGGCTTTTGACACTTCTCTGTGAAGTCATCCAAGTTTAATCTCCCCGTTTGTTTTTACTAGCCTGAGCTGGGCTCTGGGGTGAAAATAAAAAGGGCGTCATCAATACTAGTATATGATGTAAAAAAATAATTTGCCTCACAGACATCAATATATTATGGGATAGGAATCAATCCTATCATAGAAATGAACTAATTACATCAAAAGAAAAATTGACTTCAAAAACTTATTTTGCTGCCCTGAATTCAATTCATTCATTGCTGCCTGATTATTGGAGTCAAGAGACAGCACAAAAGACATGTCTTGATCATACTTTTTCTGGTCTGGTAAGGGAAAAAATTTTGACGGTGAAATACAGTAACACAAAAATGTATAAAGAGGAATGCAACAACGCTTTTCCGGTTTCATCCAAACCAGACGGCTGACTGAGGAGAGAGATGATGACGTCATGAGAAGCAGTGACCCGGAGATGACTCCTATAAAACCGCCCCCCTCCCCCTTCCTCCTAACCTCCCCGCGGAGTGCTACCGTTTCGCGGGTCCCTGTGAAGTGCTTCTGTTTATACTTCCTAAACCTCTGCTGGTGACTCCAATAGTCTTCAAGCAGACGTAGGATTTTGGCCATAGAGCCAAGAAGAGGCTGGCCTGTGTCTGTGGTAGTGTAGACCATGGAAAGAACAGTTTCTCAAACGCATGGGGGAGGGGGGTCTGTAGCACAGTTTTCTTCTGTCTATTTGGCCATTTTCTACTCTTTCCAGCCGCTTCCCGAAGCCTAGTAGAGGCTAGGGGAACTGGCCTGTGTGTGCTATGAAACCCACAGCCCTGTGGACAGTACAATAAATGTACAAAATGTATGATTGAAAAGATACTGAGATACAAGCTGTGTCTCTGGAGTCCCCTGAGATTTCTGTCTTGTAAGAACATAAACAGTGCGGACTTCGGTGGGAGGAGCGAGAAAACAACGCCAGAGAAAACACACATCCATCGTCTTTATCATATGGGACAAAAATCAAGAAGGAAACCATTTATATGTTTGTACAATTATACATGATAATCAAAATGTCTCAGATGACCATCATAAGACAGACTAGTTCATGCTTTGAATTGATAATAGAGAATAAAGGATGTCCCAACATCTCGCGATCTGATAAAATGCAATGTGATAAAATAAGACAAGGAGGCTTGAATTAAGTAGAATGTTTCTTATCAAGGAGTTTGTTTGAAGAAATAAGTAAATAAAAGATAATAAGTTAACAACACTTCAATGAAACATTCTTTTAATCGCATTTTGTTCTCATGATAGAAGAGCCTTGGAGTGTACATTTTCTTTAGAATACCTTTCTCAAACCGTTCGGTAAGTTAACGACCAAGCTACGTGCTATAAAGCACGTTTGTCAGATCTAGTTCAAGTGGTACAGCAATATGTATGTTTGTGTAGGATCAACGAGGTTAAAAATCAAAGCATTGTATTGGACCCGGGGCCATCCATAGTGATAGTCTGGTTGCCAGGCTATTTCCACGACTCCAGAGCCAACATATCCCCAACCAACTGGCAAAATGGAAGTTTTTTAATACCATGGATCAAGCACAGTTTTTGATATTAGTCTAGTTTTTTATCTGTTTTTTTTTTCTACTGATGTACTACTACTATTTTTTCCCACCAAATAGATACTGCCCTGCCAAAGACATGGCGGCAAAAAATATTTTTTTTTTTTTACCTCCATGCCAATGATGAAAAATTGAGGTCACTCTTTGCTTTCCAGGACTAAAGGCCGCCATACTCCTTTTGCAGGCTAATGAATAGTAGAAATTGGCCTAAAAAGCTAGTATCATTGGCCAGAGGAGATAACTACCATAGAATCTCCAGCTTGCCATCACCTCTGGCCAATGATATTCCCTATTTAGGCCAATTTCTACCATTAGCCTACAAAAGCCAAGGAGTCTGGCGGAGACTACGTACAGACCAGGTAGCCTCTACCAGGCACCGCGGATCGCTGGAAAAATAGTAGAAATTGGCCGAAATAAAGGTAAGTATACCGTGGGTCGCGACTTGGATCTTCTATGGCCCGGGATCTTCTATCCCCTGACTATCCCATTATTTCGGCCAATTTCTACTATTTTTCCAGCGATCCGCGGCGTCTGGTGGAGACTACGTACGGACCAGGTTAGCGCGCGTACCGTCCCGTCCAGGTAGACTCACGCCCGGCGGTAATGTGAGCCGGGCCGGATACGGTACAGACCCCGCCGCTACTCCACAAGGGCAGGGCGAGGTTTCCAGCACGGCGCGCGGGGGCCTCGGCTTTGGGACAAAACATCTGGAAACCATTGCGTTTTGACAGGAGGGTGCCAAACGTGCCACGGTGCTGAACTTTCACCCCGGCTAGCTGAGGGGCCCAGACGAGACAATCTGTGGAAAATAACACAGAATGAAGTGGAAAGAGTAACGCTACGGCATGTGATGATACAATTGTAGTAGTACTAATGAGTTCCGTTGTCCTCACGTGTACATAACAACGATTCTCAACAGCTGCAGTTAGAGTTCTAGAGGATAGGGGCCATCCTAGTTGCCTGTACGTGAGATCATGAATGATCTGCGCGGTAAGAGGAAAGCACACGGGTCCCTGTTGAGGGTTTTTACACATCGTGTGGAGGGAAGTTGATGTGATAGATAGAGGAGGACACACTGAGCACGTCCCACGAAGCCTTAAAAGTCCCTGCTGGGTTCAGGGCAGCCAAAAATATTGAGATTTATTTGTCCGCGCCGATAGCAGGGACCGTAATTGGTTGCCACGCATTCCTGAAGTCCCCCTTCGCCCCGATTTGCAAATTTTATGATTATGACTTTGATTGGCTCTTGGCCGGGTCCGGTCCGGGGAAAGGGGCGGTGATTGACGGGACGGGAAAACAGGGAGAAGTCAGCAGGGGTAGGGCCGCTGTGGAGAGAGTATCGGACCGTACGGGCGCCACCGGACCATTGCTGGGATAGCCTCGGCACAGGAAGGGACTTCCACCGAAGGGCGGCCGCGATGTCGTCGCTGAGCAGCCTAGACACCAGCTCTTCCGTGTACCCTCCGGCACAACTGTTGAACTGGGTCTACCTGAGCCTGCAGGAGCAACAACAACAACAGCAACAACAACAGGGCCAGGACGCTCCTCAGTTAATCGGACACGGTGGACACCATGGCCCCAACAACCAGGTAGGAGCGTCAGAGTGGGGCATCGTCAAACCTCAGGTGTGGGGAGGGGGGTAGCACCGTTTAACTGTTACATTTGTGAGAAAATAGTTGTCAAATTTTGCACCTCGTCGCCGGGTACATCTGGAGAGCCCGATAAGCCGAGCTCACACACCCCTCAACCCGGCCAGTTTCCGGGCGTTCGGTTAGCGTTCCAAAATAGTTGAACAATTCGTTCTGCAATTTTACACGCTAACCTGAACTGCAACGTATAAAGCCTGGAGGTCCAAAACCTTTCTGATCCAACTATTTTTTACACGTGTACACGCCCATACACACGCCTGTACGAAAAACGTACTTTGTTGATTGATTTTTAAGCGTCTAGTAAAAAGTTGGCTATCAACAAACGCACCAAAAAGGTTAATTCGTTCCAGACGTTTTGAAAGAAACGGTTGGCTTCTGTGATGACGCGATGTCTGCGGATATTTCTTTTTAAAAGTTTAATATTCCACGTAAAGGTGTTATTGTTTTGCAAACGGCATAGCTGCCCACACTTCATCTAGGTACAAGTCCAGAACAAGACAAATTTATACAGGTGAGAAAATATGATCATAATGATGGCAATTGAAGTACAGCAGTAGTGGCAGTATATCTATTATTTTCAGGGAGTTGGAGAAAAAAATGAAATAAGCTGTGTCATCATAGGTATTTCCTATCTTGGTAATGGTTTTAAAAACGAGATGAACATTTGACAAAACAGCAAACAATAATGAAAGTTTCAAAATTATAGTCGTCTATACATTATATATATACAATGTTAGAAACAATTATTTTGTATATCGTCCAAGTCAAGTGTAAATTTCTCTGAGTATTTTGGCATTTTAGTTTTCCTCGACTGATCCGCAGTTGAAACTGTTGAATGTACCAAAAACGAGTCGTTCATACAACTATTATGCACATACGTTTGTATGCAGTCTTGTTCCCACCTAAAACAAACGACTTCTAGTTCTGTCAACAAGGGGATGACCCTAAAACGCTAACGCTGGCCAAATGATGAGGTACCTCCCCTCCCCATGTACAACCATAGTCCTGTCATACATCGTTATAAAACAGAATCAAGTCAGCAAAAAGTAAGACATCACAACACTGTTGCGTTGTATTTTTCCTTGAAGTGGAGGTTATTCTTGAAACTTATTCCTGCACGGTAAGATGTCGGAGAAGTGTGGTAGATGTGGCGGTGTGGTGTTCAGGGCACCCCGCGACATTGTCACACATTGACTCGATGTTTACCAACAATAAAATGAACAAACACAAGGCTTGAGTAACTCACTGCAACATGTGTTTGTGTACTAACATGACCGTCCTTACCCAACATTCGGTCCATTCTTGTTGTACATGCAGTTGTTAAGTCTGAGATATTATATGTTTGTTATACATTTTAACACAAATTGTTTGACATGATCATGATGGCAGCAGTACTGTACAAAAATGAATGTTGATAACGCTGAGAAGGCGATATGGGTAAAACTGTTTGAACTTTCGATACAGGTAAACATGTGACTGTTCCTCCTAGCTTATAGACTCCAAATTATGGGTTGCTAGAAAGAGTGGGTTGCAAAGTTTACCACCACGGCCGGCTAACTATGATTTCTGTCTATTTGGCCATTTTCTATTTTTCAGCGGCCTATTAGTTTCTGGTAGAGCAAGGACATTTATTACTCATTGGGTAGAGACTACTGCAGTATGTGAATCTTACACTATTCTATCACAGAGAATTAGTGCTACCATTTACTACAATTATTTAATTGGAGTCTCAATTTTGATCCGTCTGTCGAAAAGTTCAAGTCGTTGCAGCAATAGTTGCGGGGTATGCCTGAATTTAGGTGTGATGTCTATGTCTGGTAGTGCAGACTATATCATGAAGTAAGGTTGAAACATAACTATGTGTGCGTGTCTGTGGGAGTCCATTGACCAACCCTTGTTACTTTGTCATAAATGTTGAGAAATTTTGAAATGTAGATAAATTTGGAGAAATTAATTCCTTCGTACAGATAAATGAGCACTTGAGTGCACTCTGAGTATGGGTGAAAATAGTATTTTGTTTTTCGTTCATTTCTACATGTGCTTCGCAAAGAACGCAAATGTAGTAGGTGTTTTGGCTTTGTTAAAATTGTAGAGTGAAAGTCTATAAACCTTGTTAAACAAATAGGTGATCATTGTAATGATCGTAATAAATAACAGCCAAGAGGTGTAACGTTAGAATGTCTCTAAATCGTAAATGTTTAAACGTAAATGTATTTCGAAGGTTTTGTTGTTTATAGTTGATAACATGCATGTTTGCCCCCCCCCCATCCTCTCCACACAAAAAAAACGTTAAAACATACTTTGAATGTTGTATTTGACCTTCATCTGGCTCTTACAAAGTGACAAAAGCCTGAAGCAGTGTTTGATTCTATTACTGGCGATTACAGCTTCTGGAAATAATTTATATATTTAGGGATAATGTGTTACATGCAACATAACGGTCGTTCATCTACTAGTGCGTCTGTCTGTCAGTATTTGTTGGTGTAATACTCCATGTCGTTCACGGATTTCCTGTGTAAAAAAAAACACGACTTTGACAAGGGTTTTATGTAAATGAGAGGTCAAAGGTGAGAGGTCACAAGGACCATACATCATCAAAGATGGTATACTAGTAATATGCATGTAATGCTCTTGCAACGATACAATACATTCAGCCACCTTAGTAATAGTAGTCTACAGCTAAATTGTCGTAGTTGTTTGTATCTTTTCCATTTCTAATCTCCTATATTGGTGTGATGATGATATTGGTGTAGAAGTACGAGTACTAGTATACATAATAGACATAACACCTTTGTCAACATATACAAATGTGTTGTCGTTGCCAAAATTTTTGCAAAACGTTCCCTGTATTTTCAGAAAAATAAAACAATGGTGCCATTGATGTATGCCTGCATTGAATAACTCTGCGTTACAAACTGACGCGATATTTATCACACTAGGTTTTTTTCTGAAAATTATATGATTCTTGGTCAATGGATAATTAGTACTGTATGTTTTCGTCCTTCAATAATATGATAAGCCTTTACACTTAGGGTCCAATTGCATGACATTATTTTCATGCCGAGTTCATCCCTTGAAAGTGTTGACAATTTTTAGTTTGCCCCCCTCCCCTCCCCCCTCCTTACAGCCGAATCACAGTTACTTGTCATGTCCCCTGCGCATGCGTGTGATGACACCCCAAGCGTGTTATATTTACCTGGGACAGAGAACAAACTCTGGGTTGGAAATCTCGTACACAGTACACATCACCGACCTGACAGAGTCTCGCCTTACTGTCGTCAAATTTGCTCTTTTGTTTTCCATGGTAATTTTTGGAAGTAGAAACAAGCAGTTATCTGTAACTTTACAATATCGTTTTCATATGATTGTGTATCATAATTTCTGCACTTGAAGTTGCCTCCCACGATCATGCTACAGGCTTGTTTGGTAGTTAAGAGGATTTACTAAGCTGTAAGAACTTTCTAATTAGTAAGATTGGATCTGTTATTATCTAAATCCTACCGTGACATCATCGCAATTTGGTTGCATTGATATGCAGTATAAATATGACACAGTACTTTATGATAAGGAGATAGTTGACTTGTCGACAACTACGTTTATGCAAGGAGATTAAAAATCAGATCTTTGGTTTATGTAATGATAATTAGAAAGCGTATGAAACAGCAAGATCTAAGATCTTTGTAGTTTGTGGTTGGTATACATTAACGGCATTTGGAAGACAAAGTACTCTCCAAACAGAGTTTAGGCTTTGGCTGATTTTCGACCAATTTTGAGGCATTTTTATTGGGATTTTTGTCTGTACTTTCGTTTTTTGTCGCTTGCTAAACGGGTGGCGTATTGAATACTACCCAACCAACGATACTGTCTTGACAATTTGATACTGTCTTTCAGCATGGAGGAGTTTCTACCTCCATGCTTTCAGTCACCAAGCCTCTACACGAAAATCTTAGCACACAAATAATCGCACATGATAATGATTCATGCTATTTTTGTCTGTGCTACCTACATTCCCGATTTACATGTTAATTTTGACTCTATGTACGGACATGAGATGCCAAAAATATCGCTGACTCGCGGACGTACAGGAGCCGCCAAGACAAGATGGCGCTTCGGCACTTCGACCCAAACATATGTGTAGTAGAAATTATAAACACAACATAGAATCATAGATTTGTCCAAATCACCGATTTACAAAATGCACCGGCTCGAATCGAGCGCGTGGTTCAGACAGACCGACTCTATTATATACCAATTGAGTGTCAACCGTGCTTTTCTTCTCATTTTTGATCACAATAGTGGGTTCATAAAACCGTCCCGGACGCTTATTGTTCCCCAATTAGGATCATCTAAACCAGACGGTAGATTCCTCTCACTTCTTTCACACTCCCCGCCGCTTTGTCGCGTTTTCGCACGTTTTTTGTTGACTCAGCCACTCCAAACTCATCATAAATAATCTAATTGGACGATTTTAGTAACTGGATTGTGGGAATGGGGGTATCCAGTTGACAAACATAACAGTAAGACGATAACGGGGACGCGGGGTGGCCGCTTCTTGTCACCATTCCTGAGCCGGGTTCTGTACGGGATGGACGTTCACCAGCCTCCGCCTGCCGCGCACGGCATGCCCGATCTCATCATGTTCTACAAGGTAGGAACGGGCTGTAGCCACGCTCTGTTCGTGTTTCTAGCAAGAACGTGTCTGTTTTTGTCTCAAAGTTAAGCTTGATCTTATTTGTTAACTTTTATTCCGTCAGACAATTTCTTAGAATCGAACGGAAGTGGAAGAAGGGTTGGGGGATGTTTGTTTGTGAGCACCACCGCTGAAAATATCTGTACAGTACACTCCACAGTCCACAGCGTACACTCCGTTAATATTCAGAGCCACCTATAACTACTTAACTGTTGGTAAAGAAAAAACCTAACGCTAGTAACTAGGTACA